AGGTATGACCTAAATCAAACCCCTTATATTATATAGCAGAAGTGAGAAATCTATTATAGGGATTAGACTTGATAGAGCACCTGAAGAACTATGGACAGATGTTCGTGACATTGTACAGGATGCAGTGATCAAGACCATCCCCCCCACAAAAAAAAGAAATACAAAAAGGCAAAATGGCTGTCTGAGGAGACCTTACAAATAGCTGAGAAAACAAGAGAAGCAAAAGGCAAAGGAGAAAAGGAAAGATAAACCCATTTGAATGCAGAGTTCCAAAGAATAGCAAGGAAAGATAAGAAAGCCTTCCTCAGTGATCATTGTAAAGAAATAGAGGAAAACAATAGGATGGGAAAGACTAGAGATCTCTTCAAGAAAATGAGAGATACCAAGGGAACATTTCATGCAAAGATGGGCACAATAAAGGACACAAAAGGTATGCACCTAACATAAGCAGAAGATATTAAGAAGTGGTGGCAAGAATACACAGAAGAACTGTACAAAAAAGATCTTCATGACCCAGATAACCATGACAGTGTGATCACTTACCTAGAGCCAGATATCCTGGGATGCGAAGTCAGGTGGGCCTTAGGAAGCATCACTACAAGCAAAGCTAGTGGAGATATTGGAATTCCACTTGAGCTATTTCAAATCCTAAAAGATGATGCTGTGACATTGGTGCAGTCAATATGCCAGCAAATTTGGAAAACTCAGCAGTGGCCACAGGACTGGAAAAGGTCAGTTTTCATTCCAATCCTAAAGAAAGGCAATGCCAAAGAATGCTCAAACTACCACACAATTGCACTCATCTCACATGCTAGCAAAATAATGCTCAAAATTCTCCAAGCCAGGCTTCAGCAATATGTGAACCTTGAACTTCCAGATGTTCAAGCTGGATTTAGCAGAGGAAGAGGAACCAGAGATCAAATTGCCAACATCCATTGGATCATAGAAAAAGCAAGAGAATTCCAGAAAAATATCTACTTCTGCTTTATTGACTATGCCAAAGTCTTTGACTGTGTGGATCACAACAAACTGTGGAAAATTCTTCAAGAGATGGGAATACCACACCACCTGACCTGCTGCCTGAGAAATCTGTATGCATGTCAAGAAGCAACAGTTAGAACTGAACATGGAACAACAGACTGGTTCCAAATTGGGAAAGGAGTACATCAAGGCTGTGTATTGTCACCCTGCTTATTTAACTTTCACGCAGAGTACATCATGCAAAATGCCAGACTGGATGAAGCAAAAGCTGGAATCAAGATTGCTGGGAGAAATATCAATAACCTTAGATATGCAGATGACACCACCTTTCTGGCAGAAGCGAAGAAGAACTAAAGAACCTCTTGATGAAAGTGAAAGAGGAGAGTGAAAAACTTGGCTTAAAACTCAACATTCAAAAAACTAAGATCATGGCATCTGGTCTCATCACTTCATGACAAATAGATGGGGAAACAATGGAAATAATGACAGACTTCACTTTTGGGGGGCTCCAAAATCACTGCAGATGGTGACTGCAGCCATGAAATTAAAAGACACTTGCTTCTTGGAAGAAAAGCTATGACTAACCTAGACAGCATACTAAAAAGCAGAGACATTACTTTGCTGACAAAGGTCTGTCTAGTCAAAGCTATGGTTTTTCCAATAGTCATGTATGGATGTGAGAGTTGGACTATAAAGAAAGCTGAGTGCCAAAGAACTGATGCTTTTGAACTGTGGTGTTGGAGAAGACTCTTGAGAGTCCCTTGGACTGCAAGAAGATCCAACCAGTCAATCCTAAAGGAAATCAATCCTCAATATACATTGGAAGGACTGATGCTAAAGCTGCAGTTCCAACACTGACCACCTGATGGGAAGAGCCAGCTCATTGGAAAAGACCTTGACTCTGGAAATGATTGAACGTAGCAGGAGAAGGGGACGACAGAGGATAAGATGGTTGGATGACATCACTGACTCGGTGGACATGAGTTTGAGTAAACTCTGGAGTTGGTGATGGACAGGGAAGCCTGGCCTGCTGCAGTTCATGGGGTCTCAAATAGTTGGACATGACTGATTGACTGAACTGAGGGCATACCCTAGTAGACACCTTTTGCATTTAGTTGCATTGTGCTTTTTTCACCTTTTCAGTATTCACTCAGACAGAAACTTACGTTTCTGAATCACAGACAAATTGCAAGGAAAAAGCAGAGATAATGTTCAAGAAAGGCCTTGCTTGCAATTGTTCTGATCTGTGGTGTTTCTTCTGTTTCAATATCTAAGTGTAGCTCTCTCTGGGTGTAGTAGATCATTAAAGTGGACCTCTGTCCCTTAGATGCTTTCTGGGTAAAATGTAGACCACCCAGTGGAAAGCTTTGATTCCATTTCTGATGGTGCAAGTGTGCTTTCCCATATCCTTACACTTTCTCTTGGTCCTAAGAAATCAAAAATGAAATTTCAGTGTCCCAGAATTGTGTTAGACTTTAGGAAACTGTGCTCCTAGATCAAGGTGACACAGATGTGTCTTTCCAGCTTCAATCACTATTTGAGAAAAGAGAAATTCTTCCCTGTGTTGGGATTGAGATGCAAGAGGTCAACAGAATAACGAAACCCTCCCTTTGATCTGAAATCCATAATTTTGGCTTTGTATAAAGATACCACAGTGGAGAGATTTTGAGAATATACACCCAACATAATTCTGGAATCCTTCCAAATTGGAGAGACTTGAGCCTCCAAGTTATAATTACAGACTAATAGAAAATCAAAATGGATTTACATGTAAATCCATGGCTAATTCATTTCAATGTATGACAAAAACCACTGCAATGATGTAAAGTAATTAGCCTCCAACTAATAAAAATAAATGAAAAAAAAAAAAAGAAAATCAAAATGTGACACCCAAGTTGCATTGTGGCCTACGTGAGAGTTCTGATTTTATGCTTTTTGTCTCATCAAATCTCTGTATCCACAGGAACAAGTCAAGTCCTTTATATGTTACACATACATGACAAGGGGCTCCCCTGATAGCTCAGTTGGTAAAGAATCCACCTGCAATGCAGGAGACCCCAGTTTGATTCCTGGGTCGGGAAGCTCCACTGGAGAATGGATGGGCTACCCACTCCAGTATGCTTGGGCTTCCCTTGAGGCTCTGCTGGTAAAGAATCGGCCTGCAATGTGGGAGACCTGGGTTAAATCCCTGGGTTGCGAAGATCCCCTGGAGAAGGGAACGGCTACCCACTCCAGTATTCTGGACTGGAGAATTCCATTGACTGTATAGTCCATGGGGTTGTAAAGAGTTGGACATGACTGAGTGACTTTCACTTTCACTTTTCATGCACAAGTGTTTGCTAAACTCAAAATTGAATAGAACTCTTAACATAATGTCAACTGTTTTTGGCAGCATTAGAGCATATTTGCTTTTTTAAACTATACCATGCTGTCTTGTATATGAATGTCTATTGCAGTGTACCCTCAACCGCAATGAGAATTATTACTTTTGAGTCTGTTCTTTTTAGAATTAAAGATTATTTTTCAGACTTGTTGTGTCTTAAATTGCTATTAACTTTTCCTATATGGATTAGCCATGACACTTGAAATACAGCTTTTCCCCTTTGAATCATACATTTTGTTATTTAAATTTTTTTTATTGGAGTATAGTTGATTTACAGTGTTATATTATTTTCTGCTTCACCGCAGAGTGAATCAGTTATACATGCAGATATATCCAATCTTTTTTAGATTCTTTACCCATCTAGATCATTACAGATTACTGAGTAGAGTTCCCTGTGGTATAGAGTAAGTCTTTATTAGTTACCTGGTTTATATTTTGTAGTATGTATATGGGGCTTCCCTGGTAGCTCAGCTGGTAAAGAATTCTCCTGCAATGCAAGAGGCCCCAGTTCAATTCCTGGGTTGGGAAGACCCCCCCACTCCAGCATTCTTACATGGAGAATCTCCATGGACAGAGGAGCCTGGGTGGCTACAGTCCACGGGGTTGTCTAGTTGGACACAACTGACAACTAAGTACAGCACAGCACAGTGTGTATATGAACTTATTTACAAAACAGAAATTGAGTCGCAGACGTAAAAACCGGTCTTATGGTTACTGGGGGAAAGAAGGGGAAGGATAAATTGAGAGATTGGGAGTATAGCTTTTAATTTGTAGTGATTTTATTAAATGCATACATATTTTGAAGTTGCTTATACTTCAATCTTGATGTCTTAAAATACTAAAATTATATATGCTAATTGTTGAAAATATGAAAAGGGAAAATTCAAAGAGAAAGTAATAGTCACTTAAATCCCGCCATGAAAAAAGTCACTATTATCATTTCAATGATTGTATTTTCAAAGATTGCTTCCCAGGTGGCGCTAGTGGTAAAGAACCAGCCTGCCAATGCAGGAGATGTAAGAGATGTGGGTTCGATCCCTGGGTCAGGAAGGTCCCTGGAGAAGGAAATGGCAACCTGCTCCAGTATTCTTGCCTGGAAAAGTCCATGGACAGAGGAGCCTGGTGGGTTACCGTTGATGGGATCGCAAAGAGTCAGTCACGACTGAGCTCACACACACAAGATATTAAAGGATTACATAAGCTTTCTTTTGAAGGAGATTTATGATGTCAAGTGTATTATGTTAAGCATATACGTATTGGGTATCTATTTCTGGATTTCTTTCAATGTCCATTTGCATATGATATAGTGTTCTGATTTTTGTAAATTTTTTCAGAGTTCACCATATGCTGTTCCATATATCAACCAGTCAGATCCTAATTCCATGGTGTTTCTTTGTTTCTGAATCATCTTGTCTATTAATAATTTATTGATAAATTCAAAACTTTTTAAACTACTTCCCCCCAAATTGAACTGTTCATGAGCTTACATGTTCCAACAAAGTATATGGTAAAGTGCAAATTAATATAATGATTGTAAATGAGATACATTTTCCAGTATATTTTCTTGCTAGTTTGTGAATAAAAAGGAAAATTCATATTTGTTCTTCATATTTTTCTTTTCTTCACCAATAACTCCTTAAAACTTTGTCACTTTTATGTAGAAATCTTTTTCACTTGCTTTTCTTGAGAATTTTTTGCTGGAAAAACAAGCCAGAAACAACCAGTCAACCAACCAATAAGTAAATGAAAAACAACCTTTAAAAAAGAAAATGTGAAAATAGGTTTGTGTGCCCTCCATACATAAATACAAATTGATCCTCTCCATCATCTTTTTTAATTCAATAAAATCTGTGGGATTGACACTCATGCTGGAATAGGCTCTGCTGCCTGTGGAGATCCTAGAAAGTTACTACCATCATTTGGTCTCTTTAGAGGTCTGGCCAGTAATGAAAGAAAGGCAAGAGGTGAGCTGAAAATCCTAAGGGAGCTCCCCATTTGTTATGGGTTGAATCTTGTCTCTCCTAAAATTCACGTGTTCAAGTTATAACTCTTAGTACCTCAAATGTAAGATTGCCATATTTGGAAACAGGGCAGTTGCAGATAAAATGAATTAAGATGAGGTCATATTGGGCTAGGGTGGGCCCCTAATCCAATAATACTGCTGTCTTTACACAAAGGGAACATCAGGACAGAGAGGTGTGCAGGGAGATGCCATGTGAAGATTGGAGTCATGCTGCCACAAGCAAAGGAGCTATTGAAATGTAGGAAAGACCTGGAACAGACCCTTCCCTAGAGCCTATAGCGGGGACGTGGCCCTGCCAACAACTACAGCTCAGACTTCCAGACTATACAATTGTGAGACAATAAATTTCTGTTGTTTAAGTAACTTAGTTTGAGTCACTTCATTATGGAAGCTGTAGGTCAGTAATGGGTTTCCTAGGTGGGGCAGTGGTAAAGAATCCACCTGCCAATGCCGAAGACAAAAGAATTTGGAGTTCATTCCCTGGGTCAGGAAGATCCCCTGGAGTAGGAAATGGCAACCCATCACAGTATTCCTGTGTGAAAAATTCCATGGACAGAGGAGTCTGGTGGGCTACAGTCCATGGGGTTGCAAAGAGTCAGACATGACTGAATGACCGAGCATTTTTCTTATTTACAATTTTTTTTTTTACCAGTTTCTTATTTTCCTTACCCTCGATATTTCCATTATTTATGGCAGCAAAACGGTCTAGTCTTAAGGCACCAATATCAGATTTATCTCTCTAATATCTTTTCAAAGAGAGGCTTTAATTTTTATGGATCTAAAGATTATGAAACATGATCAGAAATGTATGTCTCTCATGAGGGCAGGTAAGATGTCCCCTAAGATATTAGTAGAGCTAATATCTTCTCTTCAGCACTAAAACTACCAAAGAGAACAGGGCAGAAGGGATCTCTGCAGTCTAGATTGAAACTCACAGTGAATAGAAATGACATTGCCCCTTTGAAGGCAATGGCCCAAGATGGGAGTATCCCTGGCAAGGTTCAGCCTCCCCAGTGATCTGAGGGACCCTCGCAGTGTATTGACTTTGTCACCCACAGATCCAAAGCACACAGTCCCTCCCAGGGGTTGGTTAGAAGGTGTACTCACTTATTTTCCACATCCTGGATGGTGTCAGGCAGAGGCAGATTTTTAGTTTCAGGTAGGAGAAGGAGGACAGGAGCAGCAATGATGGGACACACTCCATAGATGGTCCAGGGCAGAGTAGGTAGATACACCGCTAGGGCCATCAGCAGGGGAGCCAGAGCTGCCCCACACCTATTAGCCAACAAATCTAATCCTGAAGCTTTTGCTCTGAAGGGTAAGTGACAATATATAATAATCCAGTTAAATTCTGGACTTAATTTGTGATCCATTATTTTGACTTTATTTTGAACCAGAAAGCTCCACAAGTATTAAATCATGAGCTTGATGAAAAAGCCTTGCTTCTGTGATTTGCTCTGTGATTTGCTAGATGTTTTTGTCAAGGTCAGTACAAATTAGTCCTTAAACAGAGTGTTACATATTGTGACTAGTCTGACAAATCTTCTAAAAAGTTAAGAGAGGATGTATTGAAGTACTGCTTAGCATGGTACATGGCACAAAGCCAGAACTTGCAGTAATTTTGGTTATAATTATTTTTAAGGTACTATTACAAATACTGATAATTGCTTTACAATTAACAGATCTTATTATGTTTATTCCCTTGAATAAGCACCAATTAGCTGGGAAATTTCTATTATGGTCCTTGGCATAGTATTCATAAACTCGTACCTGACAATAGTGGGGAGGAGTTCACTTTGGTGGACTGAAAAACAGGTCTGAGAGGCAGCAACACAGCCGATTCCCACACTTGCCAAAATCACGCGCAGGGTCTGCATATCTGGAAATGAGAAGATCAGTGAGATTAAAAAATCTGGGCTGAAGGAATCAACACCCACAAAATTTAGTCAGTAAAAAAACTCTGTAAGCTGTTTATATTTTTGAAATATATTGTAGATTTATCTCTGGGCTTTCTATCCTGTTCCAGTGATTTATATTTGTGTTTTGTGCCTGTACCATACTGTGTTGTTTACTATAGCTTTGTAGTGTAGTCTTAATTCAGGGATCCTGATTCCTCGAACTCCATTTTTCTTACTCCAGGTTGCTTTGGCTATTGGGAGTTCTTTGCAGTTCCATACAAAATTTTTTGTTCTAGTTCTTTGAAAATGCCGTTGGTAATTTAATGGGAATTGTATTGAATCTGTAGATTGCTTTGGGTAGGCTAGAAAGTCCAGACAGAAACTCATGGACCTATGGTTGACTAAACTTTGACAAAGGAGGGAAGAAAATACAATGGAGAAAAGACAATCTCTTCAATATGTGGTGCTGGGAAACCTGGACAGCTACATGTAAAAGAATGGAATGTGAACATTTCCTAACCCCATTAAAAATAAACTCAAAATGGATAAAAGTCCTAACTGTAAGGCCAGACACTATAAAACTCTTAGAGGAAAACATAGGCAGAACACTCTTTGACGTAAATGGCAACAAGATTCCCTTGCTGCACCACCTAGAGTAATGAAAATAAAAATGAAGACAAACAAATGGGACCTAATTAAACTTAAAAGCTTGTGCACAGCAAAGGAAACCACAGACAAGATGAAAAGACAACTTTCAGAATCTGAGAAAATAATTGCAAATGAAGCAACTGACAAGGAATAATCTCCAAAATATACAAGCAGCTCAATATAAAAGAAACCCAAACAACCCAATAAAAAATGAGTGGAAGACCTAAATAGATATTTCTCCAAAGAAGACATAAACATAGAGATGGCTAACAAACACATGAAAAGATGCTCAACATTGCTCTTTATTAGATAAATGCAAGTCAAAAGTACAATGAAGTATCACCTCACACCAGTCAGAATGGCCATCAACCAAAAACATAAGCAATAAATGCTGGAGGGCATGTGGAGAAAAGGAAATCCTCTTGCACTGTTGGTGGGAATATAAATTGATACAACCACTACATAGAACTGTATGGAGGTCCCTTAAAAAACTAAAAATAGAACTACCATGTGCATGCACACTCAGTTGCTTCAGTTGTGTCTGACTCTTTGCAACCCTATGGACCTTAGTCCACCAGGCTCCTCTGTCCCTGGGATTTTCCTGGCAAGAATACTGGAGTGGGTTGCCATGTCCTCCTCTGGGGGATCTTCCTGACTCAGGGATCAAACCAGGGTCTCCTGCATTGCAGCTGAATTACCAGGTTAGCCCCATCATATCTGGTACTGAGCCAAAACAGGGGGAGTGACCATACTATGTTTTCACCTGGGATATAATTGCAAGATCTCACCCCACCATCCTTGTTATTAAAAATGTGAATGGCAACTGAACAAGTCCTGTCCTAGAGGAACTGTCAGGAATACTAGTACCAGTTTACAGACAACTTTCACTATGTGATGATGATAAACAGATGTCTGAAGTGCCACTTGCTGATCTCTGGTTCTTTTTCTAAAATCTTATTAGAATTTCTCATAAACTCTTTGATTGGTTTGGGTAGGACTTAGCCTTTAATTGGGCTTCCCTGGTGCCTCAGTTGGTAAAGAATCCACCTACAATACAGGAGAGCCTTGTTCGATCCCTGGATCAGGAAAATCCCCTGGAGAAGGAAATGGCAACCCACTCTAGTATTTTTGACTGGAAAATTCCATGGGTGGAGGACAGGGGAGCCTTATGGGCCACAACATGGGTCTGACTTACAAGAGTCAGACATGATTTAACAACTAAACCACCATCTGCTCCATAGACAGAGTATGGCTGTCTCTGAAGGCAAGAGTTTCAGCCCCAGGGTTTGGGGTCAGGGTCTCTGATAGGACACTGTACTGGGAGAAACACATTCATAACATGTTTCCATCTGATCTACCTTAAAAGGCCCCGAGGTGTGGGGGTGGTAAGTTTTTTTTTTCTTTCCCTTTAATTGAGACCATTCTTTACTGCTGGCTCTAGACAGTGTGACCCAATACAATCCGTGGTGGTTTGAAAAAGACACTTACTTTCCCCAAATTCCAATCTTCTCTCACCTTGAGGCACAAATATGTTGATCAAAATGGAAAGTCCCACGAGGAACATGAAAAGCATCTGGGTTGGTCGACGGCCCACTTTGTTCAGTGGGTAAAGTGCAAGACATCGGACTGAGATAGTGAGAACACCAAAGATTACCTGGAACAGGAAAATATTGCTTCCAAAGTGCTGTAGATTGATGATAATGCCAAAAAAGGATATTGCACCTGCAAATCTGTAGTGAACAAAAGAAGACCCAAGCCATAAGATTAGAGCCCATTGCTGTCATTGATGATTATGTTGACCCAGGCAGCCAATGGTCAAGGTTAAAGAATAAAGGCCCAGTCTGATTTCTACAATACTTCATTTTAAAGGTACAATAAATAAATAAATAAATACAATAAATAAAGGTACAATAAAAAATTACGTGTCTGTATATAAAAGTGGAACTCCCTCTGTTGTTTTTTTTCTGAGTCCCTAAGCATAGAGTTGACAATGACAGGAATACATAATCTGGCCCAGTCCACCAAAGTGAATGATTTAGAGAAATTGAATACAGAATGATTGAAACTTATAAATTGTAGAAGGATTTCTTTTTGTGAGTTGTCTGTATAAATGTACATATGTGTGTATGAATTCTGTGAGTCCTCCCTCTCATCCCCCAACACCAGTACTGGGAAGAATTCCCTTTTTCTCAACTATGATTGAAGTTGCAAAGAGACTACCAGTGTCTCCTTGACCTGGGAGCAGTGTCCTGGGGTCTAACAGAATTCTGGGAAATTTAAACTTAGTATCTGATTTCTTAGCACCAAGAGAAAATGGAAGAATTCAGAAAGCAAACGTGCACCAACTGTACCATCAGAAATGTAATGAAATATTGCCACTGGGGATCTACATCTTACATAGAAAGCATCTAGACTTGAATCCACTTTATTTTTTTTTCTTAGTTGGAGGCTAATTACTTTACAATATTGTAGTGGTTTTTGTCATACATTGACATGAATCAGCCATGGGTATACATGTATTCCCCATTGAGTCCACTTTAAAGATCTACTACAACCAGAGAGAGCTACACTTGGAACTTAGAACAGAAGAAACACCACAGATCACAGCAATTTTAAGCAAGGTCTTTCTTGGTCATTATCTATACTTTTTGCTTCCATTCTGATTATGTAGGATTCCGGAACATAGATCTGTGTTTCCTAGTGAGTAAAGAAATGTTGAAACAGCACAATGCATTGAAATGCATACGTCTACTAGGATAAGTCTGGAAAGAAGTAAATTGTTCAGCTTAGTAGTTACTTTTTTTTTATTTTTAGCAGATTTAATGTCAGATATTATTGACTTACAATAAAGGCACATTTTAAAATTGTACAGTTTGGTAAGTTTTGACTTATGGATAGCCTGAAAAATGATCACCAAATCTTAAGATTGGCAGTGGGTATATATTTTCCAGTGGCTTATGTGTGTGTAAGTCTTCAAAAATTCAGAACTGTATTTAAGGTTTCTCCTCCTGACTCTATCAAAGCTAGTAGTTACATCTCCTCAAGAAATAATAAACAAGATTTACTACAGAAGCCCTTGTGCTAGTACACAAACTGTATCTAAAATGGAAACAAATAAAGTCCACCAAGTTTGAAGTACATACAGACATTGCAGTGCATTCATGTAACGGAAACTATAACACTGGGGAGAACAGTTTACTGGTACAAGCAACAGAATGGGTGAATCTTCATGAATGAGCCTGAAGAAAGAAGACCTGTCACAGAACCCTTCTGTCATTTATTATGTGAAGGTTAAGATCAGGCAACACTCATGTGTAGTGATGGAGATAGGAACAGTGCACAGTAGGGCAGCGAGGAGGAGAAGAGAGTGGGGTAATGGTGGAGGTGGTGGTGATTATATGGGTTACATGAGCAGAACTCCCGGGGAATTAGGATTGTTCTATCTTGCTTTGTATGTTGGTTACATTATTAGACATTGAAATATTCATTGATCTGTATTTATTTGTGATCTCTTCACATTACAGTACGCCAGACTTGCTTCAATTAAAATTCAAAGAATAAATGAAGAAAATTAAGTGCCAAAATCTGTACTGTGAGGGAAGTTCTCAACCTCAGTCTCCAGTGAACAGACTGACAGTGTGATATGACTGAACCATCATCATAAAATCAGTTCCACATGAGTCTTACTTGGCCTGTTTTCCTCATCTTTTAAATGCAAATATGTGTATTACCATATGTGAAACAGATCACCCGTCCAGGTTCGATGCAGGAGACAGGGCACTCAGGGCCGGTGCACTGGGATGACCCTGAGGGATGGGATGGGGAGGGAGATGGGAGGGGTGTTCAGGATGGGGAACACGTGTACACCCATGGCTGATTCGTGTCGATATATGGCAAAAACCACTACAATATTGTAAAGTAATTAGCCTCCAATTAAAATAAATAAGTCAATTAAAAAATGCAAACATGCCCTTCCTCTCACGATACTGTTATAACATTTGAAATAAATAGATTCATGTTTCTTCTCACATGCACTGTGTGTAGCCCACCTCACAAAGAACAGGAGATACGTCCTCTTTCGCAGGTTGGGTGTGCGGAACAAGTCAAACATAGTTGTTTTAGTCTGTGCTGTCTCCAGCTCCTCCTGCATGGTCACTCTCAAACCCTTCAACAACAACAAACACACATCATTTGCTAACATAGTACCAGGAATTGTGATGTGTGCTGGCACACAAGAGGATAAGAGGCATGTGTTCTCTTTCTTTCTAGTGTATCATATTATACACACAATCACATGTGAACATGAAATGAAGGAAGATGTAGGGAGTTAAGGGAGACTCCAGGAAATTAAATGTTAAAATGCTATTTTGAAGAAGAGACCATAGATGGAGGTAGGGTGACTCAAGAGTAGAAAAGTTTTAGATTCAGAGGAAGTGAGCTAAAGGATACTCCTATATGTATCCCTGAATCCCCACCACTGTTCACCTGAATCTATCACAACGTTGTTAATGAGCAATAGTCCAACACAAAATAAAAATGTTTAAAAAAGAAAGTAGTAGCTGCACAGTGCTCAAAGTTTCTTTTCTACTAGAAGCCCATGAAAGACTAGCGAATTTCCATTCTCAACTAGCTGTCCTTGTTAGAAAAGCAGCTTGTCTATATCAAGAAGGAGAAGGCAGATATCAGTTTATGATTTCCCTTCAACCAAGTAACGATCTTCCCTTCCCTTTCTCACTCACCTCCAAGTTCAGGGTTTCTTCAACGTTCTTCATTCCATTTCTGTGTGCAACTATTTTAAGTTCCTTTAAGCCCTCATCTGGTTTATTGGTGATAATCAGCCATCGAGAAGATTCCACCAGCCACCTGATGAAAGATGAGCACGCAAGTGCAGTCAGTTGTGCTCAGTCACTCAGTCCTGTCCGACTCCTTGAGACCCCAAGGATTGTAGCCTACCAGGCTCCTCTGTTCATGGGATTTTCCCGGTAAGAAAACTGGAGTGGATTGCCATTTCCTTCTCTAGGGGATCTTCCTGCCCCAGGAATTGAACCCACATCTCTTGCATCATCTCCTGCATTGGCAGGCAGAATCTTTACCACTAGCACCAGCTGGGAGGCCATTGCTTATTTGTCACATGTCAATTGATAATAGTTGCATTTTGCTTTCCATCTAAATCTACCACTTCTCTTGTTGGATCAGTTAGTTAGTGTTAGCTGCTCAGTCGTATGACTCTTTGTGACCCCACTGACTGTAGCTCGCCAGGCTCCTCTGTCCATGGAATTATCCAGGCAAGAATACTGGAGTGGGTTGCTATTCCCTTCTCCAGGTGATCTTCCTGACCCAGGGATTGAATCCAGGTCTCCTGCATTGTAGGCAGATTCTTTACCATCTGAGCCACCAGGGAATATGGGAAATTCCCAATCTATTATACAAATACTAGGAGAATATGAGACTAACCACTCCATGCCAGTGCACTTGAAAGTTGTACTACTAGTAAGGAACACAGACTTTGGAGTCAAATTGCCTCTCTGCTTACTCACCAGGAGGATTTACAAGAAGCTTGACAAGCTTAATCTTGAGAGTCCCTCACGTGATAATTTCCTTCCACTGTGGCATGGGACAAACAACTTTTTGCACATGATATATATTTACAGTATCTATTCCTTTAAAAAAGAAGCCCCCAAAATGTCAGCTTAAAGCCTAACAATGACTACAATTACTCCGTCTCTTACTAGTTATGTTGATAACTAATTATCCAATTCTAACCAATTAATGACTAATTACTTCTTTACATCTGCCTCAGTTTTCTCATTAGTAACATGGGTACAGTAGTGCTAGCTTCCTTGTAGTGTTACAAATACAGAATGACTTAATAGATGAGTCTGACGTGGATTATATTGTCTTCTCTCTCTGAACTCATCTCGCTCTGTAAAACCTGTAGTCATCTCTCTGTGTTCTCCTAAATCTGATTTTCCCTAGATTGGTTTTAGTATGGGAATGAAGTTATCCATTAATAATTATTTGTTGAAGTTATTTAAGGGAAGAAGGAGTGCTGAATTCATAATGTAAATCATCTAATCTGCATGCAAATTTAACTAGTGGAAAATCTTGTTGCTATTTTGTGAAACAGCTCTGTGAATAAATTTGCTGCATCTTTTTCATCCAATTCCATCTGCAACAGAGCAAATCACTGAAAGTTTTTCTGTGACCTGACTCATTCCAAAGCCAAAATAGAATTAAAGGTATTTCTTTCTTTTTTTTAAATAAAAAATTGAGTCTGTATTTTATATTAAGGAAAATAATATTGGAATAGCTCTATGACCTTTATATTGGGAAAGAGTTAGGAACCAGATGGCAGAAAATACCTAGCAGAAAGGTTATTGTTACTCCATGTTATGTTTCTCAAATTTCAAATTGCCCAGAATGAACAGGTGAGAGACATGGATTTCAGGTCTAAACAACAAGTATGTGTCAGGGAATAAGAAAATCAGTATATCCCAATTCAATGTGCATTTTATCCCAGACTTTCTTAAGAGAGAGAGCACTTCATACCTTGAGGAGAGAAAGAAGACAAAGAAAGGTACAGACACCACCAGCTGCAGGGTGCGCCACTCTCGAAAGACAAAAGCCAGTCCTCCCAGGATCATCTGTCCAATACTAAGGGCACAGTATACCAATGTTAATACCATGCCTTTCGATTGGGATCTTGTCCACTCTATAACTGAAAGATATCAAGACAGTGTTATCATGTCAAATAAGTGTAAAATTTCAAGCTCAAATTCAAGGCTAAGAAGATGGATTAGATAAAAATTGTTGGCTTACTTAGAACACAGTTGTTTGCTATTACAACTGCAATGGAGCAGCCCGACAAGAAGCGTAGTAAGCAATAAATGAAGATGTTGGGAGCAAAGGTTGTACAGGTCCCAGAGATGGCAAGTTGGAGTAAACACCACCTGAGAATCAGCTTTCGCCCAAACCTACAAAACAGACAGTCAGCTTAGGTGATGTGAGTAATGATAATTTATGGTAACAAATTAAGAAAACAAAAACATACTCTGAAATTTCAACAAGAGAATCATGTGCCTGAAAACTTGAGTAAACAAAAGCTAAATCAACAATGCAAATCTCCATAAAGTAACAATCTTTGACTATATGCAAACAATACAAATACTTCATCATACAACCACCAGATGACTCTGTCAGATGACTCTGACACTGAAAGAAACTGTTCATCTGTGTTTTTATTTCTGCTTTACAAATAGATTTATCTCTACCATTTTTCTAGATTCCACATATATGTGTTAATTTATGATATTTGTTTTTCTCTTGCTGACTTTCTTCCCTGGTCTTCCAGTGGTTAGGACTCCATGCTTTCACTGCTGAGGGCGTGGGTTCTGTTCCTGATCCGGGAGCTAAAATCCTGCAAGCCATGTGGCATGGCCAAAAATAAAAATAAAAATAACTTCTCACAGAAGAAACCATGGTGTTGGAAATTGTAACATTTCTGTAAGCAGTGGTGTATTAGCATATGTGTTTAACCTGGTATATAGTCTCTCAAGTGTCTGAAACATAAGAGAGCTAAAAGTGTACTTGGGTCTCTAGGACCACAGAGGCAAGGCTTAACTGATGCAAAAGATCAGTGGAATAATGCATGAAAGTTGTTGAGGGGTTAGGTAAGAGTCAATCTTTGTTGAATCTGATTTTATTGGCCTAAAGCAATATACTTTTCTAGAACAGAATATAAGAGCACCATAATTCAGCCAGAGGCTGTTATATAAATATCTCAGAGGAAAGAATTACCTAAGATGGAGAATGAAGGGAAAAGAAGGTGCAAGAAAATAAGGAAAAGTGAATTCTCTGTATCATTGGGCATCAAGAAAAGAGGGCTTTAAGATACATGCATCCCAATGTTCATTGCAACTCTATTTACAAGAGCCAGGGCATGAAAGCAATCTAACTGTTCGCTGATGAAGGAATGGATAAAGGAAGATGAAGTACAGTGGAATATAATTAAGCCATAAAATAGAATGAAATGATGGCATTTGCAACAACATGGATGGATCTACAGATTGAAATACTGAATAAAATGTCAGACAGAGGAGGAGAAATGTCATATGACATTCCTTATATGCAGACTCTAAAAAGATATCATAGAAATGAACTTATTTACAAATCAGAAACAGACTCACAGACTTAAAGAACAAACTTATAGTTGTCAGGGAGGAAGGGATAGTTTGGGCATACCAAATGATGATCTCAAAAGATGAAAAAGTCTTTTGACATAATACAACACCCTTTCGTGATAAAAAAAAATACTCAATTAGGTGGTATAGAAGGAATGTAACTCAACACAATAAATGTGATATAGACAACACTTCAGAGAACATCATACTCAGCAGAGACAGTTTGAAAGATTTTCATTTAAGTTCAGGGAAGAAAAAGTGCCCACTCACACCAGTTCTATCAACACAATTCTGTAAGTGCTAGTTATAGATATTAGGAAAGATAAAGAAGAAAAATATAACCATACTGCAAAAGAAGAATTTTATTTTCTTTGCTACAGATAATATGAACTTGTATATATTAATAGAAAATCCTAAAGATTCAACCAAACAATTTGCTAGAACCAATCTACAAATTCAGTAACCTGCAAGATACAAAAATCAACATATGAAGTCAAATGCATTTCTATACACCAGTAATACAATGTCTGAGAAATTTAAAAGGTAGCAATTCCACTTACTATAGCATCAAAATTGTAAAATAAGTATCAGTTTCATGAAAGAGATGAAATACATAGACACTACAGCAAGACTTTGATGAAAGAACTTGAAGAAGACACAAATAAATGGAAAGATAACCCATGTACATGAATTGGAAGAATTAGTATTGTTTAAATGTCTATGCTACCCAAAGCCATCTATAGATTCAATGCAATCTCTATCAAAATTCCAATGGTAATCTTCCCCACTATCAACATCAAGGGTATATGAGAAATCTCTGTATTTTTTGTTTAATTTTGCTATGAACCTAAAACTACTCTAAGAAATAAAGCTTACTAAATAAAAAGTCTTGGGGTTTGGGTTCTGACTCTTCAGTTTACTAATTAAAATGCCCCAGGCTAATTAACTTATTAGACATTGTAAACTGCTGGTACAAGTGGTATTTACTTCCCAGGCTTGCCAAAAGAATGAAAATGAAAATGGAAAAAGTTCCAATGGCATTTTTCACAGAAATAGCAAAAGCTATTCTAAAATTTACATGAAATCATACATGTCCCCAAATAGCCAAAGCAATTATGACAAAGAAGATACCAGCTCAGAAGCATCACATTTTTTATTTCAAATCATACTACACAGCTACAGTAATGAAAAGATCATGGTACTGGCATAAAGATGGACACATAAAAATGCTCTTATCATGATTCCAGAAATTAATTCTTCAGATATCACATTTGATAAAGGAGCCAGTAATATTCTTTTCAATAATGATGTTGAGAAACTGGGTAATCACATGCAGAAGGATGAACTTTGATCCCTATTCATACCATTCAAAAAATCATTTAAGATGGATTAATGACTTTACCATTAAACATTACCTTGAAACAGTAAACTCCTGGAAGAAAGCATGAGGAAAAAGCCCTTTGACTCTGGAATTAACAACAGTGTTTTGGATACAATGTCCATCCAAATGGTGTGAGGCTCTATCTCATTGTTGTTTTGATTTTTCTAGCAAAGTAATGCTCAAAATTCTCCAAGCTAGGTTTCAACAGTACATGAACTGTGAACTTCCAGATGTTCAAGCTGGATTTAGCAGAGGAAGAGGAACCAGAGATCAAATTGCCAACATCCATTGGATCATAGAAAAAGCAAGAGAATTCCAGAAAAACATCTACTTCTGCTTTATTGATTATGTCAACCCTTTGACTGTGTGGATCACTAGAAACTGTGGAAAATTCTTAAAGAGATGGGAATACCAGGCCACTTGACTTGCCTACTGAGAAATCTGTATGCAGGTCAAGAAGCAACAGTTAGAACCAGACATGGAACAACGGACTGGTTCCAAATTGGGAAAGGAGTACGTCAAGGCTGTATACTGTCACCCTGCTTATTTAGCTTACATGCAGAGTACATCATACAAAATGCCAGACTGGATGAAGCACAAGCTGGAATCAAGATTGGCAGGAGAAATATCAATTACCTCAGATACTCAGGTGACATCAACCTTATGGTAGAAAGCAAAGATGAACTAAAGAGCTTCTTGATGAAAGTGAAAGAGGAGAGTGAAAAAGTTGGCTTAAAACTCAGCATTCATTTTTAACTGACAGTCACATCGCTTCATGGCAAGTAGATGGGGAAACAATAAAAACAGTGACGGACTTTATTTTCTTAAAATCACTGCAGATGGTGACTGCAGCCATGAAATTAAAAGATGCTTGCTCCTTGGAAGAAAAGCTATGACCAACCTAGACAGCTTATTAGAAAGCAGAGACATTATTTTGCCGACAAAGGTCCATTTAGTGAGTACATCATGAGAAATGTTGGGCTGGAAGAAGCACAAGCTGGAATCAAGATTGCTGGGAGAAATATCAATAACCTCAGATATGCAGATGACACCACCCTTATGGCAGAAATGAAGAGGAACTAAAAAGACTCTTGATGAAAGTGAAAGAGGAGAGTGAAAAAGTTGGCTTAAAGCTCAACATTCAGAAAACTAAGATCATGGCATTTGGTCCCACCACTTAATGGGAAATAGATGGGGAAACAGTGGAAACAGTGTCAGACTTTAATTTTTTGGGCTCCAAAATCACTGCAGATGGTGATTGCAGCCGTGAATTTAAAAGATGCTTACTCCTTGGAAGGAAAGTTATGACCAATCTAGATGGAATATTAAAAAGCAGAGACATTACTTTGCCAACAAAGGTCTGTCTAGTCAAGGCTATGGTTTTTCCAGTGGTCATGTATGGATGTGAGAGTTGGACTATGAACAAAGCTGAGCACCGAAAAATTGATGCTTTTGAACTGTGATGTTGAAGGAGACTCTTGAGAGTCACTTGGACTGCAAGGAGATCCAATCAGTCCATCCTAAAGGAGATCAGTCCTGGGTGTTCATTGGAAGGACTGGTGCTGAAGCTGAAACTCCAGTACTTTGGCCACCTCATGTGAAGAGTTGACTCACTGGAAAAGACCCTTATGCTGGGAGGGATGGGGGCAGGGGGAGAAGGGGACAACAGAGGGTGAGATGGCTGGATGACATCACCGACTTGATTGATATGAGTTTGAGTAAACTCTGGGAGCTGGTGATGGACAGGGAGGCCTGGCGTGCTGCGATTCATGAGGTTGCAAAGAGTCGGATACGACTGAGCGACTGAACTGAACTGAACTGAAATGATGGTTCTTCCAGTAGTCATCTATGGACATGAGAGTTGGACTATAAAGAAAGCTGAGTGCAGAAGAATTGATGCTTTTGAACTGTGGTGTTGGAGAAGACTCTTGAGAGTCCCTTGGACTGCAAGGAGATCAAACCAGTTGATCCTAAAGGCAATCAGTCCTGAATATTCATTGGAAGGACTGATGCTGAAGCTGAAACTCCAAAACTTTGGCCACCTGCTGCAAAGAACCGACTCATTGGAAAAGACTCTGATGCTGGGAAAGATTGAAGGCAGGAGAAGGGGACGACAGAGGATGAGATGGTTGGATGGCATCACTGACTCGATGGACAAGAGTTTGAGCAAACTCCGGGAGTTGGTGATGGACAGGGAAGCCTGGTGTGCTGCAGTCCACTGGGTCACAAAGACAACTGAGTGACTGAACTGTATCAAACTGATGATCAGTGATGTTAAGTATGTCTTCATATACCTGTGGACTACCTCTTTGTCTTTTTTTAAAGAACTATCCTGTGGACTACCTCTTTGTCTTTTTTTGAAGAACTATCTATTGAGCTCCTTTGCCCAAATTTAGCAACAGGTTATTTATGTTTTTTTTTTTCTATTGGTTGTAGTAATTCCATGTACATTTTGGATATTAACACTTTATCTGATTCATGGCTTTCAAATATTTTTCTCTCATTCTACGTATTTCCTTTTTATTTTGTCAATCATTTCTTTTGCTATGCAGCAGACTTGTTTTGATATAGTCTCCCTTACCTATTTGTGCTTTTGATACCAGTGCTCATAAACTTTTTACCTATGTCAGTTTAAAATCCTTAGCTTAGCTACAATGTTATCTCTTCACCTAATTTTCCACTCTCAACTCTTATCATAACTCACACAGACACACAACCCAGACATCTATGACTCCATGTCCATCTAAACTCTCAATCAGCATTTTATTAAGAATAGTCCTAAAAGGCTCAGTCAGTAGGCTGATCCAAATGAGCACTCTGATCCAGAAATCTTTGACTAATTACACTGAGGTGATACTGTCAGAGTCCACAATTTTCAGCTCTAAGATTAAATGATATTAGGCTGACAAATAACAAGGGATACTTACTCTAAGCCTCCCATTTCCCCTATAGGAGACTTGAATGTGCCGCTGCCATGTTTGTCCTATTGCTTTAAGAATGTACTTTAAGAATGATCACTGTCAGGCACAGGATAACCCAAACTTCTCACACAACACATTGTGACAGATGAGGTCTATGAATTAGTTAATTGCCTTGTATGGTGGCAAATATTACCTGTAAGTAGGCTCTTTCTTTCTTTCTTCTTTCTTTTTCTTTCTTTCTTTCTTAACATAATCACACAGCTGGATTATAGACACAATTATTTCTACTCCAACTTCAGTACCCAGAAAGCACAGAAGTTTCATAGGGCACTAATTACAGTAGGGTAACCATGATATGGGCTTCCTAGGTGGCTCCGTGGTAAAGAATCTGCCTGCCAATGTGGGAACGCAGAAAACATGGTTGATCCCTGGGTCAGGAAGTTCTCCTGGAGGAGCAAATGGCAACCAAGTCCAGTATTCTTGCCTAGAAAATTCTGTGGACAGAGGAGCCTGGAGGATACAGTCCATAGGGTCGTAAAGAGTCAGACACCCTGAGTGACTGAACACACACACATACAAGACCGTGACATGAGGACCAAGGTAGGAACCTGCAAGCGTTTAGCTCACTGATCTGTGAGGGACACACAGACTTCATGGCAAAGGGCTACAACTCTGTTTCTTCAAACAGGCTGAACCACCTATCTTGAAATCACCTTCTCTTATCTCATTGGTAACTCCTTCTCATCTTTTTGAAGTCTCTCTAATTTTATGGTAACTTGCCTCTAAAAATTGTTCCAAAATACCCCCTGCCCTTAATCTTATGGAAAGGTTATTTCTGTGTTAAAACAGAGAGATCTGTGGCAACAAATCACATTCATCACAATGAGTCTAATTCTGAATTTCCATCCGTAGCTCCCTGGAAACCAAGGCAACCCACAACAGCATAAATTGTATCCTGGAACTAAAGAAACATTTTCTTATGAAATAAGTAATCATAAACTGTGAACACACCACAGAGGAGGGGCAGCAGTGATGTGGAGATACTCACCTGTCTGAGAGATGGCCATAGATGAGGCCCCCAGCCAGTGTTCCAACCATGACTAGGGATTGAATCAACGGTTTCTGTGACTGTTGGTCACATACAAGGTCCCACTGGAAAAGAAAGAAATCAGCCCAGAGGAGCTTCACAATATGTTATATCCTTAAATATTTACCCACTCTAATAGCCCTTTAATGAACTACTCTCTGGTTTCCTTTACAACATTTACTTCTCCATATCATTCCAGTCATAGCTTAGGCATGACTTTTTCAGATCCTCAGCTAAATCTCGTAGGTTATATCAGGGCCAATCTTCATGTTCACTTAGCACTGCATACATCAATGTTTCTGTCTTTTGTTTTGTTGTTCAGTTGCTAAGTCAAGTGTGACTCTTTGTGATCCCATGGACTGCAGCACAGCAGGCTCCTCTGTCTTACACTATCTCCCGGAGTTTGCTCAAATTCATGTCCATTGAGTCAGTGATGCTATCTAACCATTTCATCCCCTGCCGCTCCCTTCTGCTTTTGAGTTCAATCTTTCCCAGCATCAAGGTCTTTTCCAATGAATCAGATCTTCTCATCAGGTGGCCAAAGTACTGGAGCTTCAGTTTCAGTATCAGTCCTTCCAATGAGTATTCAGGGTTGATTTCCACTAGGATTGACTGGTTTGATTTCCTTGCAGTCCAAGGAACTCCCCAGAGTCTTATTTAGCACCACAATTCAAAAGCATCAATTCTTGGGCACGGACTTCTTTTTTTTTTTTTTTCATTTATTTTTATTAGTTGGAGGCTAATTACTTTACATCATTGCAGTGGTTTTTGTCATACATTGAAATGAATTAGCCATGGATTTACATGTATTCCCCATCCCGGTCCCCCCTCCCACCTCCCTCTCCACCCGATCCCTCTGGGTCTTCCCAGTGCACCAGGCCCGAGCACTTGTCTCATGCATCCAACCTGGGCTGGTGATCTGTTTCACCCTAGATAATATACGTGTTTCGATGCTGTTCTCTTGAAACATCCCACCCTCACCTTCTCCCAGAGTCCACAGGTCTGTTCTATACATCGGAGTCTCTTTTTCTGTTTTGCATATAGGGTTATCGTTACCATCTTTCTAAATTCCATATATATGTGTTAGTATACTGTAATGGTCTTTATCTTTCTGGCTTACTTCACTCTGTATAATGGGCTCCAGTTTCATCCATCTCATTAGAACTGATTCAAATGAATTCTTTTTAATGGCTGAGTAATATTCCATGGTGTATATGTACCACAGCTTCCTCATCCATTGGTCTGCTGATGGGCATCTAGGTTGCTTCCATGTCCTGGCTATTATAAACAGTGCTGCAATGAACACTGGGGTGCACGTGTCTCTTCCAGATCTGGTTTCCTCGGTGTGTATGCCCAGAAGTGGGATTGCTGGGTCATATGGCAGTTCTATTTCCAGCTTTTTAAGAAATCTCCACACTGTTTTCCATAGTGGCTGTACTAATTTGCATTCCCACCAACAATGTAAGAGGGTTCCCTTTTCTCCACACCCTCTCCAGCATTTATTGCTTGTAGACTTTTGGATAGCAGCCATCCTGACTGGCGTGTAATGGTACCTCATTGTGGTTTTGATTTGCATTTCTCTGATAATGAGTGATGTTGAGCATCTTTTCATGTGTTTGTTAACCATCTGTATGTCTTTCTTGGAGAAATGTCTGTTCAGTTCTTTGGCCCATATTTTGATTGGGTCATTTATTTTTCTGGAGTTGAGCTGGAGGAGTTGCTTGTATATTTTTGAGATTAATCCTTTGTCTGTTGCTTCGTTTGCTATTATTTTCTGCCAATCTGAGGGCTGTCTTTTCACCTTGCTTATAGTTTCCTTTGTTGTGCAAAAGCTTTTAAGTTTCATTAGGTCCCATTTGTTTATTTTTGCTTTTGTTTCTAAAATTCTGGGATGTGGGTCATAGAGGATCCTGCTGTGATTTATGTTGGAGAGTGTTTTGCCTATGTTCTCCTCTAGCAGTTTTATAGTTTCTGGTCTTACATTTAGATCTTTAATCCATTTTGAGTTTATTTTTGTGTATGGTATTAGAAAGTGTTCTAGTTTCATTCTTTTACAGGTGGTTGACCAGTTTTCCCAGCACCACTTGTTAAAGAGGTTGTCTTCTTTCCATTGTATATCCTTGCCTCCTTTGTCAAAGATAAGGTGACCATAGGTTCGTGGATTTATCTCTGGGCTTTCTATTCTGTTCCATTGATCTATATTTCTGTCTTTGGGGCACGGACTTCTTAATGATCCAATGCCCGCATCCATACATGACTACTGAAAAAATCATAGCTTTGACTATATGGACCTTTGTCCGCAAGTGATGTATCTGCTGTTTAACATGTCTTGATTTGTCATAGCTTTCCTTCTAAGGAGCAAGCGTCCTTTAATTTCATGGCTGCAGTCACTGTCTGCAGTGATTTTGGACACACTAAATACATTTAAAAAATTTATGATGCCTGGATTTTACATTTAGGGTGAAATGCACTCTGATTTCATTTTTTGACAAGTAGCCAGGACATGGAAATTAAAAAATTAATACACATATTTCCAATTTGCAAGTAAGGCAAGAACATTCTACCAAGGGTAGTTTTCACATATTATATCTTTTATAACTGTACAGCTTCACACAATTTAAAGCTTTGTGATACTAAAATTCATTTCTAGTTTGTTTTTTCACTACACTTAATATTGAAAAATAAAGTGCCTTTTTCATTTCTGGTTTCCTCAGAGTATATGACAAGTAGTGGGATTGCTGAGTCTTATGGTGGTTTTATTCTTAGTGTTTTTTTTTTTTTTTAAAGAATCTCTATGCTGTTTTCCATAGTGATTGTATCAGTTTGCATTCCCACCAACAGTATAAGAGGGTTCCCTTTTCTTCACACCCTGGCCAGCATTTATTGTTTGTAGACTTTTTGATTATGGCTATTCTGACTGGGTTGGGAAGATCCCCTGGAGAAGGGAAAAGCTACCCACTCCAGTATTCTGGCCTAGAGAATTCCATGGGCTGTTTAGTCCATGGGATCACAAAGAGTCGGACACAACTGAGTGACTTTCACTTTCATATTCTGAATGGTATGAGATAATACCTCATTGGGGTTTTTATTTGCATTTCTCTAATAATGAGCAAAGTTGAGCATCTTTTCATGTATTTATTAGCAATCTCTATGTCTTTGGAAAATATCTGTTTAGGTCTTCTGCCCACTTTTTTAAAAAAACTATTTTTTATTAAAGGGTAATTGTTTTACAGAATTTTGCTGTTTCCTGTTAAACCTCAACATGAATCAGCCATAGGTATACATACATACACTTCCCTTTGAAACTCCCTCCCATCTTCCTCCCCATCCCACCCCTCTAGGTTGATGCAGAGCCCCTGTTTGAATTTCTTTAGCCATACAGCAAATTCCTGTTGGCTATCTATTTTACATTTGGTAATGTAAGTTTCCAAGTTACTCTTTCCATACATTTCACCTTCTCCTCCCCTCTCCCCATGTCCATAAGTCTATTCTCTATGTCTGTTTCTCCATTGTTGTCCTGTAAATAAACTCTACAATACCATTTTTCTAGATTCATATATATGCATTAGAATACGGTATTTATTTATGTTTCTCTTTCTGACTCACTTCACTCTGTATAATAGATTCTAGGTTCATCCACCTCATTAGAACTGACTTAGATTCATTCCTTTTTATGGCTGAGTAATATTCCATTGTGTATGTGTACCACAACTTCTTTGTCCATTCATCTGTCGATGGACATCTAGGTTGCTTCCATGTTCTAGCTATTGCAAATAGTGCTGCAATGAACAATGGGATACATATGTCTCTTTCAGTTTTGGTTTCCTCAGGGTATATGCCTAGGAGTAGGGTTGCTGGGTCATATGGTGGTTTCATTCCTAGTTTTTTAAGGAATCTCCACACCATTTTCCATAGAGGCTGTATCAATTTACATTAATACATTACATTACATCACAAATTATTACATTACATTACAGTGCAAAGGCAATCCCTTTTCTCCACACCTCCAGCATTTATTGTTTGTAGACTTTTTGATGAGGGCCATTCTGACTGGTGTGAGATGATATCTTATTGTCATTTTGATTTGCATTTCCCTAATAATGAGTGATGTTGAGCATCTTGTCATGTGTTTGTTTGCCATCTGTATGTCTTCTTTGAATAAATGTCTGCTTAGGTCTTTTTCCCACTCTTTGATTGGGTTGTTTGTTTTTCTGGTATTGAGTGGTTTGAGCTGCTTGTATATTTTGGAAATTAATCCTTTGCCAGTTGTTTAATTTGCTATTATTTCCCCCCATTCTGAGGGTTGTTTTTTCACCTTGCTTATAGTTTCCTTTGCTGTGCAAAAGCTTTTAAGTTTAATCAGATCCCACTTGTTTACTTTTGTTTTTATTTCTCTTTAGGAGGTGGGTCATAGGGAATCTTGCTTTGATTTATGTCATCTAGTGTTTTGCCTATGTTTTCCTCTAAGAGTTTTATAACTTCTGGTCTTACATTTAGCTTTTTAATGCATTTTGAGTTTATCTTTGTGTATGGTGTTAGGAAGTGTTCTAATTTCATTCTTTTACATGTAGCTGTCCAGTTTCCCCAGCACCATTTATTGAAGAGACTGTCTTTGCCCCATTTTATATTCTTGCCTTCTTTTTAAAAAATAAGGTACCCAAAGGTGCATGGGTTTATTGCTTGGGCTTGTTTCTGTGCCAGTACCATACTGTCTTAATGACTGTAGTTTAGTAGTATAATCTGAAGTCAGGAAGATTGGTTCTTCCTGCTCCATTCTTCTTTCTCAAGACTGCTTTGGCTATTCAGGGCCTTTTGTGTTTCCATATGAATTGTGAAATTTTTTGTTCTGGTTTTGTGAAAAATGCCATTGCTAATTTGATAGGGATTGCATTGAATCTGTAGATTGCATTTGGTAGTATGATCATTTTCACAATATTGATTCTTCCTACCCAGAACATGGAATATCTCTCTAGCTGTTTATGTCATCTTTGATTCTTTCATTAGTGTCTTATAATTTCTGTATGCAGTTCTTCTGTCTCCTTAGGTTAGTTTATTCCTGGATATT